TGTGTGTGTGTATTTGAGTTGTGGGTGGACATAATACCTTTATCTTGTTTATTTTTATGTGGTGCTAAGGACTGAACCCAGTGCCTCGCATGTGCTATGCAAGTGCTCTACCACTGAGCCCCAGCCCCAGCCCCCATGGGTGCTTTTAAACCAGCCAGTGAGCCAGGGAAACTTCATTGGGATTCAAGGCTGTTGGCAGAGGCTGCCCAGGCTGAGCAGGTGTGGGTGGACCTCAGTTGTGGCTCTTCATTGTTTAGCTGCTTGACCTTCCTTTCTTCATTTCTTATTCAGGAGGTCACCCTTCCTCAGTAGTAGTGTGTGGGAAATGTTGGGGTTTTTTGTGGCTTTTTTTTTAAATGGTACTGGGGAATCAAACCCAGGGCCTCGAGAAAGTACTAGGCAAGTGCTCTCTCTACTGATGAGCTATGTCTCCAGCCCCTCACCCACCCACCCACCCTTTTTTTTTTGGTTCTGGGGTTTAAACCCAGGAGCCCTCTTTAGTTTTTAATTTGAGACAGGGTCTCACCAGGTTGCTGAGGCTGGCTTTGAACTTGTGATCCTCCTGCCTCATCCTCCCTAGCTGCTGGGGTTACAGGCATGCGCCACCATGCCTGGGCCACCACCCCTCCTTTTTTTTTTAAAGTGAGCCAGGAGCCCCCTGTTGCTTCCCTGGGTCCCAGTGATATAGTCTCACAATAGTATTTGAGCCCAACAGATGCCTTCTCATACCCACTGGCAAGTCCTCTTTGTCACCACTGTCACTGCCTAAATCTCCTGCAGGTAAAGCCCTTAGGGTTGGGCATATTGTGGGTATGTGTGTTTATTTACACACACATGTTGCAGACTCTTAGAACAGAGCTGAAACAAACCCCAGCAAATGGGCTCCATCGCCAGCCGTCGGTGGGTCCCTGGGGATCCCGTGCTGCAGCGCGCTAACCACAGCCCAAGTTAACGTTTTCTTTCATTTTTTGAAAACCACACTCTGGAGCTGACAGAGGAAGGCAGAGAGGCATCGTGAACACAGAGTAAAGAAAAGAGGATGAAGTAAAGCAAAGCCTGGGCCCCCCAGCTCCCCCTGGGGAGAGCCCTGTGATAGGGGCGGAGCGTCGGGGAATTCAGGATTTGCGTGGGAGAAAAATTTCCTGGCTGGCGAGGAGAGCAAGAACTCTGAGAGGAGGCAGCTCCAGTATTGAGTGTACCACTGGGATTTGTGCCTTGGTGAATTCTTCATATATTACAGTGAATTTAATTAAATACATTGTGATCCCAATTGAGGGTATTCTAATTAGCTGGGTCAGGAACAAATTATTCTCCCTCCTTCTCCAAATGAAAACATCTCTGCTCTTCTACAGGGAAAGCATGTCCTTGGCTGGCTGACTTGCCCCATGGAGTTCCCTTCTACCTCCTGAGCCCTACCTTCTGCTGCTGGTTCATGTCATGCAGGTTCTGAGGGTGGCATTCTGAAGCCAGTGCCACTCAGGAGGGAGGAGGAGGAGCAGCAATTGACCCATTCAAGACTGAAAAATCACTGGGTGGTGGGGAGAAGAACCCAGAGGTGAGGGCCCTGCTGCTGGCTCTGGGTTCATTTCCTCTGGGTTGGACAGCCTGAGAAGCAGCAAGAAAGGAGAACAGGACTTACCACACGAATCATCAGTAGACCCAGGTTCTAACTGGAAGTTTGAGGTGGGATGTGACTGTCGTCAGCGGATGTCTTTTAGCAAACCAGACATAGTTGATCCTGAATTTTTATTTTATTTATTTATTTTTTTTAGTATATTGGAGAATGAACTTGGAGTAAAAAAGCAAGTTTGGAAGTTTGAATTAAACTTTTATATCAGTTACTAAGACAAGACCCTAAATGTTCCCTATGCCCTTTATCAGTGGAAGAGGCTGTGGCCCTGGTTTCCTCATTTCCTTTCATTCTTTTCTTCATGGTTGGTGGGGTATGGCTATTTCCTTTCTGAAATGACCCTCAAATTACAGACAAAGGAATTTGTGGTGGTATAAGAGATTGCCATTGAGCAGCATGAGCTCCAGGATAGAGTGGTTTCGAAATATCTTCATCTTTTTTTTTTTTTTTAAAGCAAGAGTTATCAGTATGATGTTTATTTCAATTCAAGATTTATACAGCTTTATCACGCAGGAGCCCTTGGATTTGAGGACAAAAGACATTTGACATCTCAGTTCCCATCCAGCTCTCTTTGGCCATGATATCCCTGTCTTCTGGCTCAGAGACTGGAAACCCCAGCCATTTGGAGTCGAATCCTCCCATACATATTAAAATTTTATGTTTAAAATTCAGAGCCTCATTGCAAGGAAATCCTGTTTCATGGGAAGGTAATATGGGTTTGGAAGATGAGGCTTTCGTGACTCTTGCTCTGATTTCATAGCTCATGATACTACTCAAATCCCCTTGATGAAATGTATTGCTTTGGACTGTGGTTATTTTTATTCACTCAGTTTTAGCTGAAGCTTTAACAAGCAGAATTCCTGGGGTCTCAGTGACCCACGACCTTAGTTCCTGGTACTTGCACATGTTTCCCGCTCTCCGTTCCAGGTCATGTGGTTGCTCCCAGGACTATCCCACCGGGGCTTTTGCCTTTTGAGGGGGCCTGTGAGGAAGTGGGGGAGAATGAACTTGGGCAGGCTCACCTTTTCCTTCACCTCTACCATACCAGACCGTCCTTCTCCCCAGGAGTGTGGCCACCAGAAAACATGGCCTTGGTGCTTGCCCTCCTTCCAAAGTCCTGTGCAGGGAGCCCTGTCTGTGGAGAGGCATGACGAAGATAAACCACTTAAAAATCAGCTCCCATTTATTTTTAGAAAGTTAGCTTTTTGTTGTCATTTGTAATTTTTTTTAGCGTTTAACACTGGGCTCTCCTGGTTCTTTCAACTCCTGGTTGTGAAATTATTCTAGGGCAGCTGTTACAGGAAGGGATTTTATTTTGTTCCAAGCTCCACATATTTGAGTGTGTTGAGTCACCCATTTGGGGGGTGGGGTGATCATTCTCCCTTGGTGCCTGTGAAGCCCTTTGCATCCAGACCTCCAGGTTGGCAGAATTTATTGTGGGATGTTTTGGTGGGCTCCCATGCTTGAGGGCCTCAAGTCCCCTCTAGTGAGTTTGCTATGCCACCTGGTTGGTACATTTATATTTCGTCCTCTAGCAAGGTGCATGTGTGCTTCTGTTTTTTTCACACTTTGTCAGTGGACATAGACTATTGAATTGAGTGTGTGGGCCTTGGGCAGTGTCATTAGATGGGACGCCCTCATAGAGCCACTCTGGTATTTTTGGCCTCACGTGGACACAGGATGTTTCAACCACTGCAGCTTCTCCGTGTCTTGCATTATAATTGGTACAAGGAAAGGATCCCAGCAGGATCCAAAACTGTTGTCAAAGCATGGACGTGGGACAGATGCACTGTGGTCAGAAAGAAGATGAGCAACTCAAAGCCATTCCAAGGCATTTGCCATGCACCTGGCCAGGCTTGGGTGACGGGGTGGAGATGAGTTGGTGAGGAGAAAAAGGGAAGGTCAGAGTATCAATGCACACATTAAACACTTGCATTATCATCTAAATTCGCTCCTCCAGAAAGAGGCTGAGTGCTTGAGGGAGTGGGTGGGAGGGTAAACCCCAGGTTCTGGTTGTTTCTCTCCCACTACCTGCGTTGACTTGGGTTAGTTACTTATGCATTTTGAGATTGTTTCCCTGGATTCATGCACACCCAGTAGAAAACACTCCCTCTTCCCTTCACATGAGCCATTTGCAAGGAAGAAGACAGCCTTTGTACACAGAAGCATGCTGATTCCCTGATTATTAGGGAAAAGGGGCCACGGCTTTCATGACTTTCTCCAGAGACTCAAAACCATGGTGGATTTTATTCTTGGATGATCTTTAAGAATCCTAGGCACAGAAGTCTTGGGTCTGCTAACTCTTTGCATGATGCCAACTGTACTTGTACCCCCAAGTCATTCCTATGTGTGCTGTTTCCTGCTGGTCTTTGGGCCTTCATACTCTGAACTCAGTACTGTGTCTGCTAAACACAACAGAGAACATAATTGTGACCACTCTATAAACTCCATGACCAATGACATTGACCAGTGATGAGCCAGATGACCATGAGAGATTGATAGGGAACCACTCTGGAGAAAATATTCTGTCATTCTTTAATCCAGAGGAAATCCTAATTTTGGATCCTCCTAATAGACTGTATTTTAAATACAAACACCTCATTGTCTGTCTTGTGGAAAGGCCAGACAGCAGCTTTGGCACTGTTTTATAGACCTAGGATGTTGTATGGTATGATGGCCTCCAGTTGTCACCAAAGCAGAGGGTAGCTGGCTTTGTCTGAAAAGGGCCGGATTGTGATGCTTTAAGCTCCACGGGCCTTACCATCTCTGTCATTGTCGTTCACTCTGATGCTTCTGAGGCAGCCACAGGTTGTATATCAATCAGTGGATGTGGTTGTGTTCCAATAAAACCTTATATACAAACTCAGGCAGTGGAGGGCTGGGTGGGGATATTACTCAGTGGTAGAGAGCACTTGCCTAGTATGCACAAGGCCCTGGGTTCTGTCCCCAGTACCACGAGAGAGAGGGTTGGGGGGAGAGAGAGCAGTGGGTCAGATTTGGCTGGTGGACTGTGCTATCTGCCAATCTGGTTTTTGGAAAATGAAAGGTGCACTAGGGAAAGCCAGGAAAACAGAAAGTTATAAAAGAAGGTACAAAAAAAATTGAGTGACCCTGGGAGGACCCAGTCGATGAGAGGTGTTAGTAGCACTCTGGAGAGCCACCTGTGAGTGGGCATTGGGGACATGGGAATGCGAGTTGCCTCACTCCTCAGAGGGTGCTAGAGAAGTGGACCCTTTGAGGAACCTTATCATGGATCATCCCGTTTGGCTGTTCCAGCCTGTCCCCCAGTGGCACGCCTCTGGCTGTGAGCGTTGCGGTGGTGGCTTCCAGCAGCTGACTCAGGGCATGCCCCTCTGCTTTGTCCCTGCAGCACCTGCAGCAGCATGAGAGTGGCGTGGAGGGCGAGAGCTGCTACTACCACTGCGTTCTGTGCAACTACTCCACCAAGGCCAAGCTCAACCTCATCCAGCACGTGCGCTCCATGAAGCACCAGCGCAGCGAGAGCCTGCGCAAGCTGCAGCGGCTGCAGAAGGGCCTTCCAGAGGAGGACGAGGACCTGGGGCAGATCTTCACCATCCGCAGGTGCCCCTCCACTGACCCAGGTGAGTCATCTTGTGGGCACAGGAGGCCAAGGTGGACCTGGGCATTGGCCTCTGAAGGACCGTCTCATGTCTTCTGTTGGGGGATGACATGCCATTGCTGGACTTTCAGGGGACTGTATGTTCTGGAAGGAAGGCACATGGTGCCTTTATTTATTTACTTATTTACTTTTAATAACACTTAGTACCACTTCACTTTGCGGATACGCTTGGGTGTAAGGAAGCTACAAGCCACTACTGGAGAGTGGGCCCAGAAGATCTGCCCCTGTCCCTAGGTTCCTCCAGCATGTGCTCTGGATTCCGTTATTGGTCCGACTGACCTAGCAAATACTAAGCTGCATGCCTTGCTCAGTGTTAGGAGTAGGCAGTTTGTGGCCTTGAAGTCTGTTAAAAATGAACTTCAGAGAGGATCAAAACCCGTACTTGTTATAAAAACCCTGTTAGTATTTGAGAGTGATTCCCTGTTGTTCCGTGGGTCTGGGCTGTGTGCCGCTTCACCCAGTTGAGACCTTCTGGTGGTCATGCTCCTTTCTCCATCTCCTGCCATCTCATCTGTGGTCACCTTTCTTCCTTCTTCCTCTTTGTGACTAAGATTGTTTCCCTGGCTTCATGCACACCCAGTAGGAAAACTCTCTCTTTTTTTACATGAGCCATTTGCAATGAAGAAGATGTCCTAAAATCAACAAAGAAAAAGCCCTCGCTTACTCCTCAGTCCTCACTCTGTCCACGACTGAGTCTTCAGGATTCTTGGAAGAACCATCCGTATCGCTGGTCTCCAGCCCATGCCTCGGCCAACCATCTTCTGTATTCTCCTTTTACCAAACCACCCCTGGGAAGGGCACAGGTGGCCTTTGATTTGCCCAACCCAGAGGCTGCCTGCTGGTCTTTGTTGGATAAGGTTTCCTGGTCCCTTCTGGAACCTCCTTTCCCTCCAGAACTCATTTCTTTGTCATCCTTCTGCTTCTCTTGACAGTCGTCCATGCTCGTCCCTGGCTCTCGGTCCTTAGCCTGCCCCTTACGTAAGTGTCACTGGGCATCAGGCCCTGGTCCTCAGTCCTCAGCCTCTTGAAGCTTTGACCAGAGATTGCCAAGTGCCCTCAAACAGCCTCCCAGGTGCCTGGCTGCTGCCACCCTGTGCCCTTCCTTGTCCCTCGGTCTCCCGTAGCACCTTCTCAGCCGCTGGGCCATGAAGTTGCATGGGGTTTTAGTTTTAATGCTACCAAATCATGCATTTTTATAGTTTTTGAAGTTATGTGAAATATGAAAAATGGTGGGACCCTTCTGTTCCCCAGGGGAATGCCTTTCAATTGTTGGATGATTCTTTCGCCACTTATTTCCATATTGGCCAACGTGCTGCTACTATCGTGTCTTGATTCTTTTAAGATTTTGAATATTATCTTTTGGCTTTCTAGTTTGAACAATGACAGTTTCACTAGTGTGCCTTTCTGTAAACCCTCCCACTCCTACCCAGGCCACACATGCTCATCTTCAAGCTCACAGACCCCACACGGGATCCCTATACCCTGGCGCCCCCCACACCAGTTCACAAACACACAAGACACCACACCCACTCACCAGCCTCATCTTAAACACACCACCCCATAACAGGGCCCCACACCCTCCACATTCCACCAGTGCACCCAACAAATACACGGACACTGCACCCCATACCTACAATACCCCACAGACCTGCTGACACACTCTCCATGCATACACACACCCCAACAGACACTGTGCCCCACCCGGCCTGTGCCTCCCCCCCCCCACGGGGGCCTCCCCATACTCACCAGCCCCCTGCACACTACATCTTCCCCTCCCTCCGTCTTCTGTTATGAAGAAATAATAATTTGGGGTTATATTAATATTCAGTGTTTTCATTATTATAACTCTATAAATATTCATCACAGCTGAGCCATGTAGAGTCTTATAATTTCATTTACCTTCTTGTACAACTTTTTGTTTTCCCTGGCTTTCTAGGTACCTATGATTAATTCATGGCTCACCTTACTCTGCCATATTAGATGGTTCCTAATCTCTGAGCGCCGTGTGCTGTCGGTTTCTGTGTTAGCCCCATTTCCTCCTGGAGGCGTCCCCTCCAAGCCCCTCCAGAGCTCCCTGCCCGCGGGCTCCTGTGGGCGTCCTCCCAGGCTCCTGGGCTGTGCCTGCTCCAGGGAAATGACACCACTGTTCCCAGTGACAGGCGGTGCCCCAGTGGAGGGATTTTCCTCCTTCTCTGGGAGCTGAGGGTTGTGTCACTGTAAAAGGCACATTCTCTTCAGGAAAGAGCTGTCGGTACCACGATCATCTCTGTCACTGAGTTCACGGTGAGACTGTCCTTTCCCATGTGTTCTCAAGTGGCTTTTCTGGTTCAAGTTTACATTCCACCTCTTCTGCTCCATCGCTGGTCCCCTCCCTCTGTTGTGAGGCCCTTGGGGCCACAGTGGCAGTGGGACCCACAGACACTAGTGGTGCCACCTGGCTGTGGGGGACCTTGCTCCTCCCCAGGGTAATTTGGTCTCTGTTTGGCTCTGCTTCTCCCCATTATTCTGCTGCTGAGTCATTTCACTGGATTCCCCTTCCTCCTACCAGCGTGTGAAGACCCATTTCATTCAGAATTTGTGGGGTTTTTTCTTTTTCTTTCTTTTTTTTTTTTTTGGTCAGCTCCACATACGTCATTGTTTTAATCTTCCATTAAAAGCTGGTCCCTTTCACCCCTCAGTTGTGTCTTTCACTCTGCTCAGAATTCCCTTATTATTAATGAGGTGCCCCAAACTAAATAGTGTACAGCTGCCACTTCACCCGGGTCTGTGACTGGAACAGACAGTCCCCTGTTTTATAACGTAATACTTCTATTTATGCAGTCCCCTCTGGAATTGCTTTCCTGCACCCTGCCTTCTGGGTTTCTCTCATTTAATGCATATTAGGGTTTTTTCCCCCCTGAAGTGTATGAGCAACTCCAGTTAAGATGACAGACTTCCTTTCCACATTTCAAAATCCTTTTGTATTGTCTTTGGCCTCCAGTCATGTTGTTCCACCCACCCCCTCCCCTCCCTCCCCCTCCCTCCCTCCCCCTCCCTCCCACACATGCTCCAGTGAAGTTTGCACTCCACTGACGACGAAGAGGCAAATGATTAGGTAATACTTACTCAAACCAACATTAACAGGAACTTGGTTCTGTTTTAGAAATCCCTGCCTGAGAATGCATCTTGAGACATAACCTCCCTGTCCCCAGGGATTGACTCTTTAAAACTTGAAAGAATATCTTCAAGAAAAGGGACATTTGGGGCCCGGTAGAATTGAGACATTTAAGATCATCAGCCTCCAAATTTGTAAACACAGGCTTTGTAAAGTACTCCCAGTTCTCTGCTCTTTAGCAGAAGGATCAGGATGGGATCCTCCCACTAGCAGCATCAGTCACATGCACATGAAGCCCTTAGAAGCCTCGGAGCCCTGGCAGGGCCCTGCCTGCTCCAACCCCAAGCTGGATGCCAGTGGTCCTGCTGTCTGGAGGCTGTGATGCCGGCGCCCTGTCCTTCTCTCATTACATGACCACAGTGCTCCTTCCCCTTTCTGCTTTTACTTTTTCTCCTCTGTTGTCTGCACACCACAAAGTTTTATGCAAAAGCCATCAGCAAGCACTTCCTTCTTTTTCCAAGCTCTGGACCTCATACCACAGTCTCATGGTCTTTTCTAAAGGTATCAGGGTCTCCCTTGCTAGAGCTGATGGCGCAAACTCTGGAATGGTATCTTCACTGTGGACAACAAAAATACCTCTTCCAATTCTACCTGTTGCCACTGCTTTAACGTATATTCCTAGTATTCCATGCATCCTGGTCTTGCACCAAAGACTGTTCAGTAATAAGTGATTGCTAAGTAATATCAACATAATCTTAATAACGCTTTACATAATGGTAGCACCCCAAATTTTTTTGCAAAAAAAAACTGGCTTAAAATCTGATGATTATGCTGTGGAATAACTCACCTCACCGGTCTGCCAGCCAGCCAAGTTCACTACCAAGTTCACTACAAAGCCTGCCAGCCCAGATGAACCTGTGGGTCTAGAGGAAGGAATCGAGGTAAAGGAAACTGTGAAGGTCTCTTCCAACCTTCAGGACTTTCTGGTGATGGCTAAGAGTCATATTTGCTGCTGCTGATGCTTCATAATCCTTAGGAGGTCTCTTGGCTAGATAGATAATGTGCAAGTCCTCCCCTGCACCACAGGGGTCAGCCTTAGCTGCCAGCACCGACCCCCACATGGCCCTGCTGGTGGAAGGAGCTTCCTCCTTGGGTTCACAGGCAGGCAGAGCCCTGAGCTGGGTTGTCCTTAGCAGAGCATGATGTCTTCTTTCCACTCTTACTCCACAGGTCACCCACACGTACACATGCACTTGGTTTTCCAGTTTTTAAAAAGAAAAAGTAGCAAAGGCAAGGAGAGCAAGAGAAAACTGGAGGAGGAGGAGAAAGGCCAAGAGAGAAACACACTTTTACATTTAACTTCTCAAGTTAGAAATATTTTTTCCGAGGGCTGGGGCGGTAGCTTAGTAGTAGACCACCTGTCTCACGTGTGAGACATGTGGGTTTCATCCCAAGCGCCTCAAAAGAAAGAAATTATTTGGAAATTGACTTGGAAATATATATCTCAGAGAGGAGAGAGTAAATTAACCACGTGAGGCCTTTCCCCTGGTCTTTTTTTTTCCCCCTCCCTATCTGGACTTTTTTTTTTATGTAGATGGACAGCATGCCTTTATTTTATTTTATGCATTTATTTATTTATATGAGGTGCTGAGGATCGAACCCAGTGCCTACATGTGCAAGGCAAGTGCTTTTCCACTGAGCCACAACCCCAGCCACCTATCTGGGCTTTTGATCACAATTTTGAGCGCCTTTTCTCCAAGACCAAGTCGTCTCTTGGGTCTTTTCATCTCATTCTTACCTGGCGGCAGGTGTAGGCAGCCCATCACTATTGTGATGGGTCCTGTCTCAGTGCCTGGCATCGGCCCTCT